GCTCCCAGCAGGTCGGCCGACTCCGCCCACGGCCGGGGGCTGGCGCTTTCCTTGGCGCGGGACAGTGGCCTGAAGCTCAGCCCGGACAAGAACCCTAACGGACTTTAGGTAGAAACCATCTCAAGCACTGTCTTCATTTTAAATTCCACCTCGGAAAAACTTTAATCCCAAATCATAGAATTCTCTCCTAGTTCTCATTTGGAATTTCAGTATGTTCGACATTTAGGAAGCACGGAATTCGGCTTTTGGAGATTAAAAAAAAAAAAAAAAAAAAGCTGATTCTTTTACTCAAGGAGCCCACACTATAAAGTAAAAACAAGCTAAATGAATGTATAAAATCCTAGTAAAACATAAAAGAAATGCCAGACAGATGTGATCCATGATCGATCAGTTTTTATACTCAAAATTAGATTTTATCACACCTGATAATATATTTTTATTTTTCTAATAGGAAAAAGAAGCTATGATAATATCTGATGAGAAAAGTCTTCCATTACAAAAAGATGAAAGTTTAACATCACTACCAATCAAGAAAGAAAATGATGGTAAGTATGAACAGTCTATTATCTATTTTTTTTAGAAACTTTAAAAAACAGCTTATAACAGAACTTTAGTCTTTCTAGTAACCAAACTGCCTCTGGAAAGAGTAAACCCAAACAACAGAATTCTCTCTCCAACCACAAGGTCAGAGGGCACCTCATTTCCAGCCCTACATTATGCATGAGAAACCTGGAACAGGAACATTCAAGAACCAAAGCTTAATGCAGTGTAGCCCCTACAAAGTATATCTTTCTGACTATATAAAATGAATCCAAGAAATACTTATTAAACACCGATTATTTTCAAACTCGGTCGACTTACGTTTTGTCTTAGTTTTTCAACTTGATAATGGTTCCAGAGTGACACTCATAATAAATTATAAGAAAATCTTACTGTAAAAGAAATTTTGTGTTTAGATACTTTTGCCCACTGTAAGCTAATTAAAGTGTTCTGAGCACGTTTAAAGTAGGCTAAGGCTAGGCTAAGATGTTCGATAGGTTAGGCAAAATAAATGCATTTCTGACTTACCATACTTTCAGGTTTCAGTTTACCAGAATGTAACTCAATCATTAAGTTGAGAAGCATCTGTATATAGTCATGTGCTACTTAATGATGGAGATACATTCTAAGAAATGCATCATTAAGTAATTTTGTTGTGCAAAAGTTCTAGAGTCTACTTACACAAACCTAAGCATAGCCTACTACACACCTATGGTATATATAGCCTATTGCTCCTAGGTTATAGGTCTGTATAGTATGCTACTGTATAAACCAACACAACATTAAATCAAGCACAAAAGAAAATGATGCAACCAAGAGACATGGTAAACACAAGATGTATGAGGCTGCTGCCAGTATAGCACAGCGTGCTGTTTTACAGCAAACGTTTTCCCATTAAGTAGAGACACTCTAAAATAATGATAAATACATAAATCAGTGACATACTCATTTATTATCATTACCAAGTATTATGGACATAATTGTATGCGTTAGTTACACTTCTACTGGTGGCTCAGTAGGTTTGCTTACACTGGCATCACCACAAATAAGTGAGTAATGTGTTGTGCTACAATCTAACAACTTCATTAGGTGCTAGAAATTTTTCAGCTCCATTATAATCTTACGGACTACCATCGTATACATGATCCGTCATTGATCAAAACATCATTTGGTGGTGCATGACTGTAATAAATAATTATAATGCACATTTCAATTAAATCAATAGAATAGTTATAACTACACAGTCCTACTCAATGGTTCCCGGTTCCTACCTATCTGATTTATTCTTGTTCTATATTGCTACAACAAATTAAAATTAACCAAAACAGGTAATACATCTTAAGAAACCTGAAAAGTATAAAAGTAAAGACAGACTTGAAAAAATAGAAAGATATCCCTTGTGCTTGGATAAGATGACTCAATATCATAAAGATGTCAGCTCTCTTTAAATTTGTAACAATAAACTTTTTTAAAGAGCTGGTAAGGTTGATACTCAAGTTCATATGGAAAAATCAAACCTGCATGAACAGCCAGGGAAACACTGAAAAATGACAAGTATCGGCAGGAAACAGATGTAGCACACACATTAGGATATACTTTAAAAACTCTACACTTTTAAAAAGTGTGAAACTGATGCATGAATAGAATAGAAAGTCCCAGAAACAGACAAATACATATACAAATTTAGTATGTAATAAAGTCAGCATCTAAAATCACTGAAGACAATTTATTTTTTATTTTTTGTTGTTAATCCTCACCTGAGGATATTTTTTTCCATTGACTTTCAGAGAGAGGGGGAGAAAGGAGGAGAGAGAAATATCTGTGTAAGAGAGGCACATCTATTGGTTGCCTCCCGCACACACTCGGACTGAGTTGGGGATGGAACCTGCAACCCAGGTACATGCCCTTGACCGGGAATCCAACCAGAGACCCTTTGGTCCGCAGGCCAATGCTCTAACCACTGAGAGACACCAGTGAGGGCCAAAGACTTTTTTTAAATGGTCCTTAGACAACTGAGTAATCAACTGAAAGAAACTACAATTGATCTATACCTTACATCAATAAGTAAACTGCAAGTAATTTTGGGTCTAAATGTAAAAAGTGAAACCAATACAAACACTAGAAAATAACTTGAACTTGGGTGTGAGGTGCCTCCAAATCCAGAGACAATAATAGAAAAGATCAATGAATTTGACTCCATAAAATGAAACTTTAGCATAGCAAAATACATTATAAATGAAGTCAAAGACAACTGAAAATTGAGAAAAATATTTGCAACTCAAAGCACTAATAAAGAGTTAATCTCTCTAATTTATTTTAAAAAGTCAAGATCTAGGAAAAATAAATTGACTAAAAAACCATTGGAAAAACAGGCAAAAGAGATATACAAATAATTCACTAACTGATATAAAAATGACCCTTAAACATATGAAAAGATGTTCAATCTCACACAAAGAGCAATGCCACTTAAAATTACACTGAAATACCATTTTTTAACCTATCTGATGGACAAAACTTCAGTGTGTGACAATATATTACTGTATTTCATTGGCAAGGCTATGGGATATCAGACGACTTCATACATTGTTGGTGGGAATGCAAACTGGTATAATACTTTTGGACAGAAATTTGGCAATATCTAATAAAACCAAATATATATTTACTCTGGGACACAGCAATTGACTTCCAGGAATTTACCCTAAAGATAAATCTCCAAAAGAAAATACATATGCAAAATCACTGAAGCATTGCTTGCAATTGCAAAATATTGGAAACAACCTAATTGCCCATACATTAAGGAATTTATGTATAAAATTATTGTATATCCACACAAGGCAATACTATGCAGTTGTGAAAATAAATGATGAAGATCTCTATGAACATGGAATGATTTCCAGAACACGAATGTGAAAAAACCAAAGTACAAAAGTCTATCTAAAGTATGCTGCCTCTCATCTCACAAAGAAGGGGATATAAGAACATATACAGGCATCAGCCCACTTGTTTCAAAAGAAACTCAAGAAGGGTATTAAAAAACTGAGACTACCCCCTACAGGTCACAGACCAGCCAGCAGTGGAAAGGAGTGGGAGATAGGAAATGAAGGGGCTGTGTGGGGACAGTAGTGGTAGTTCTCTCAGTGTACACTTTTTTGTGGATGTAGTTTTAGAACAAGGTTATGTTTCACATAGGCAAACAAACACATTTATAAACGAAATCAACAAGGAGAAGATAAAAAGCCAACTAATGTACAAATAGAAACTTAATTACACTAAAGGGGGAAAATTCTAATCCAAGTAATCCTCCAACGCAATATGTTTACTGCATTCCTTTAGCTAAAGAAAAAACATAAACAAATACTAAAATTCCAGTGAGTGGGTTTGTAGCCACAATGAAACTAGTTCATGCTTGTTCTACGACTGAGTGATGTAAAGCAGGCACACTGTGGATCATGACAGCTGGGTTCCTCACTGCCGGAGAAGGGTGTTACAATAGGAAAGGGGAAGGCTACAGGGAACGCTGTAGAGCTAAACCCTAGTGGGAGAGATCACCACCAACTCATGGCCTGTGCAGAGATACAGAAGCAGATACAGACGTGTTTCTCTCTGTATGTGAGCATGTATGTGTTGTGTATATATGCCTAGGTGTAGAATATACATATAATGTGTGTAGTTATGTGTATTATTACATGTGGAGAGAGACAAATATACATGCATGTATTTCCTAGCTCTCTCTGCTGGAAAAATCCAGAAGCACCAAGATTCCAGAAGCAAGGAGCATATCAACATCCAAATCTTGGTTTCTAAAAACCAACCTCCATTAAAAGTAACCAGTACTCCTTGAAGAAATAGCTAATTTCAGACTTGGGGCAGGGAAAAGGCAAGATTGGCCTGGAATTCTGACCAGGCCAGAAAATAAGGAAGTTCTCAAAGAATAATGGTGACATTTAACTTTCTAAGAATTAATCAAAATATAAAATATACACAGGTATAAATTTGCAAAAGATGTACAAGACCTGTACACTAAAATCTAGATGACAGTGCTGAGAGAAATTTAAAAGACCTAAACATATAAATAGATATATTGTGTTCAACGACCAGAAAACTCAAAGTCGTTAAGATGTCAATTTTTCTCAAATTCATCTGTAGATTCAATTCAACCCCAATTAAAATCCTAGCAGGCTTTCCCTTTTTTCAAATTAACAAGCTTAATCTAAAATTTATGTGGGAATGCAAAGAACCTAGAACAGTCATAACAACACTGACAAAGAATAAAGTTGGAGGATTTATACAACCTAATACCAGCACTTATTATAAAGCAAAGAAATCAAGATACTGTGGTATTAACACAAAAATAAGCAAAAAGATCAATGAAACAGAATAGAGTTCAGAAACAGACTTACACAATATGGTAAGCTGATTACTTAAAATGGTGCCAATACAATTCAATGGAGAACCAGATAGTTACAGGAACATTAAAAATAAATTCTGACCCTTCCCTACACCATATATAAAAATTAACTCGAAGTGGACCCTATACTTAAATATATAAAAAGTTTAAGCTGTACAACCTTTAAAAGAAAACACAGGATGAAAACTTAGTGGCTGGCAAAGATTTCTTAAATAAAACACATACATGAATTAATTGTTCTTCTAAAATTAAAAATATTTGTTCTTCAAAAGACATTGATAAAAAAATAAAAAGACAAGCCATAGACTGGAGGAAAGCATTTGCAAAACATAAATCTGACAATTGACTTATATCTATAATATATATTCTTGTAATTCAATGATAATACAAAAAAACCCCATTTAAAAAATAAGCAAGAGAGATAAACAGACACCTCACCAAAGAAAATATGGGATGGCACACAGTATATAAACATATGCTCGGTATCATTAGTCATTAGGAAAATGCAAATTAAAACACGAGAACCACAACACACCTTACCTGAAGAGGTAAAATTGAAAACCCCAATCATACCAATATGTTGGCAAGGATGTGATACAACTGGGACAAACTCTCATACAGTGTGGATGGGAATATAAAACGGCACAACCACTTTGGAAAATAGTTTGGGACTTTCTTCAAAAGGTAAACATACACCTACCCAGCCATTCAGCCCTTAGGTATTTACCCCAGAAAATGAATGCATTAAGTCCATACAACTTGTACATGAATGTTTTTAGCAGCTTTACTTAAAATACCACAAAATTGGGAACAACTAAAATGTCCATAAAAGATAACTATAAATTGTGTACAATGACACAATGGAGTACTACTCAGTAATAAAAAAGAATGCCCTACTGATACAAGCAACAACAGATGAATCTCACAGTAACTATGCAGAGTGAAAGAAGCCAGGCGAGAGTATATACCACATGGTTCTTTTGAGACAAGATTGGGAGGGGAGGGGTTACCAAAGAGCAAGAGAGCATTTTGGGAGTGATGGACGTGTTAATTATCTCGATTGTGGAAATGGTTTTATGGGTATATACATATGTACATATGTCAAAATGTATAAATTATACAAGTTAAATATGTGCAATTTATTGTATGACATTTAACTACAAAAAAGCTGGGGCAGGATAAAAAAAACGGGGGGGGACTTAAAAGAGCTCTCACTGGCTAATCTGTGACAATTAGATTATAAAAATAAATGTTACAGTAATGTATTATGACCCATAGGATAAGGAATTCATAAGTTCATACTAACATAAGTAAGTAAATAAATATAAATAAATAAATAAATAAATAAATAAATAAATAAATAAATAAAGGAATGTTCCACCTTACACCACAATGTCAACTAACAAGTATAGAAAGAATGATGGATTTAGAAAATCATTATTTGGCAACTATCCTAGTGATAAACAATTCAGGTAAGGATCAATGGCTGATATAACTAGTGGGTGAAAGTTTAATGACAAATCAGATGTTTAAAATCTCAAAGTACTTCTCTGAAAGATATTAATTACAAAGTGGAAAATATTTACTTTACAGAGTGAGAAACATGGTTGTCACCAAATGAACCAAGTGACCAAAGACAGCATTATCAGCATTGTCAGGAATGGGACAAACACGGCAATGAGAATCCTACATCATTTCCATGGCATTTCTGCCAAAAATGAAGAACCTCAGACAAACCCTAATTAAAAGACATTCTGCAAAATATATGCCCTAAAAAAATGTTTTTTAAAAAATTAAAAATTTTTCAAAAGAGTAAAAGGTGAAAAATAAAGACTAATAAACTGTTCCAGGTTGAAAGAAACAAAAGAGGTATGACAAGTAAATGCAATGAGAGTAAAGTGAAATGGAATCCCACCAGTGCCTATGATGACTCTGATTTTCAAGTTAACAATTTGCTTATCTAACCAGTGGTTTCTAAACTCCTTAGTTGTCACCAATCTGAAATGTATTTGTGCCACACCAAGCGATAAATCAAGCTCATGTTTACCTTAAGTCCTGCTTTACAAATTTCTTTTGGTATTCAAATGAGGAAATATAATTGTTAATCAATTCAGCAATTAAATAATCAACGTTAAAGCAGAGAATAAAAGAGACTGAATTACATAGTCTAAAATAAAATTCTGGTGAATTATCAGTTATAATACAGGTCTCTAGCTATCATAATTATAGTATCTTTCCTATTATCTGTAATTCTGTAAAATATCTTTTCAAATCAGTAATAACATTCATAATAGCAATAATTTTACCAATAGAGGCCAAATATTTTTAAACGGTTTATACTTTTGTGATTTTTCCCAATTAGAAATGCCCACGTGCCTGCTGTGTGTGTGTTTAAGTGGCTCTGTATACTGTGAAGAAGTTGACATTGATGTTGTACCACCCTTGCCAAAGGAATCAGCCTATCTTTATGCAAGATTCAACAAAATTAAAAAGCTGACTGCCAAAGATTTTGCAGAAATACGTAAGTTAGTTTTAAATAAGATATTAGCATTAACTCGTTAATATTTAACTCATATAAACACAAGATTCTAGGTACTCGTGGCCTATCACTTCTAGGGTAGTCACTCTTGGTGCATTTTAAGTATTTACCACATTTCACAAAAATCCATTGATTTGTTGCTGAATCTCCTTTCCATTCAGATCTCCTCTATCATCTTTCTTTACCAGTGATTTTGGTGTCTGTGTTGACAGCCCATTTAACATATAGGCAAACTATGTCTTCTCAACCCCAATACTTCAAGATCCGTTTGCCTTAGCCAGTCAGCAGTACCAGTAAAGTCAGTATGCTTCTCCAATTACAGTGTTTTATTGTCTATCTTCACTATAAAAGCATAGAAACTGCTTTTCCTTACTTTACTCATGGTTCTTAAAATTTGGCTGCATGATTAAAAATATCTGGGGAAACATTTAAAAAATACTGATACCAGGCAGGCCCTAAGTCCCCGAAGGTTCTAACTGAGGTCTGGGGAGAAGCCCATGCATCATCATTAAACACAAGCAGTCTCCTCAGATGATTCTAACATGGAACCAGTGTCCTTCATTAGTCACTAACAATCTTGGACTTGTGGCATCCTGTCAAACCTTACAACTGGCCACTAGGGCACTGCCTTCAAAACACCAAAATCCCCACTTCCACAGTACCTAGTCCCAGTCCTGGATCACTAATCCCTCATAAAATTTCTAGATTCCTATGCTGTCAAGTGCTTCTGAAGAAAATCACACCAAGAAATGCGCACTGGCCCACTACACATTTACAAGATTAATACTAACAGGATTCATGCTGCTACTGGTTACTCCCAACTGGCTGAAGTACAGTTGTTCATTAATATTTGTGGATTCCACATTTTCAAACTCACCTACTTGCTAAAATTCATTTGTAACCCCAAAATCAATATCTGCAGCATTTTCACAGTCATTTGCAGACATACACACCATGGCAAAAACAACTGAGCTCCCCAGTCGAGGGGAGCAAGGCAATGCTGACCTTTTCTTTCTGCTTCTATACTATTAACAAGAGTCCTGTTCAGTCTACTTAGTGCCACATTTTTGACGTTTTTGTGCTTTTTGCTGTTCAAAATGGTCCCCAAATACAGTGCTGAAGTGCTGTGTACTGTTCCTAAATGCAAGGAGGCTGGCTGTGACGTGGAGAAAATACATGCGTGTTAGGTAATCTTCAAGTGTGAGTTCCACTGCTGATGGCTGTTGAGTTCAATGTTAATGTATCAAAAGTATATACTAAAGAAGACGTCTTTAAAGAGAAACACACATAAAATTATGTACCGATTAGCTGATGAAAATGTGTGACCACAGGCTTGAAGGAACCTAGCCCTGCATTTCCCCTAGGGGCCATAATGGTTCCATATGTACTAATTCAGTGTTTGTGGCAATTTTATGCACATGACTATCCCAAATAATGAGAAGCAGCTATATTTCCTAATCGTCCCAGGAACACAAAAGTGATACCCACATACACATGCACACTGAATTTCTCTCTCAGTCTGCATCACTTTAACAAATTAGGGAACATTTTTGTCTGTTGTTGTCAACCATTAAGGCAAAGAGAGATTCAGATAGCATACCCACAATGACAATGCAATATGCTGGCAAAAAATCCAAAAATAGTTCATGTGATTTGTTCAATCAAATGTAATGCTTACTTTGCTTGATTTGCAACAAGAATTTCTTTCAAACTGCCTGAGCATCCTGAGAATTCAGAGGACAGTAGGACTCTACTAAGTTCCCTTTGAACCTGCCATTCCACACTCCAGTTAGAAAGGCCATTGGTGTCAAGCACAGAGTAGATGCTCAGCATTAATTCAACAAAATTTCCTGAGCTACTAATAGTAGATTCTAGAAGCTAAAAATAAAATGTCTGAATGACCTGTTAAACAAATGCTTTTCTTCAGTCCACACAAATGAGAATATAACTTCTTATTTTCTGTATTTTTTGTATACTTCTCCTTCAAGCTAATTTAAGAAGACTTGATTTTACGGGAAATTTGATCGAAGATATAGAAGATAGTACTTTTTCAAAACTTTCTCTGTTAGAAGAACTGACACTAGCTGAAAATCAACTACTGAAACTTCCAGTTCTTCCTCCCAAGCTAACTTTATTTAATGCAAAATACAACAAAATCAAGAGTAGAGGAATCAAAGCAAATGCATTCAAAGTAAGTATTTTATAGTATGACTAAACATGGTATCAAGTTTTATACAGAAAGAGAAAATCTGGTCTAGAATTTGGCTTTATGTTTTATGGCCATTTTAATTTAATAAATGAAAATATTTACATAATAAATAGGCTCATTCTGTGTAGTTTATGGCTGTACCTCACAAAATTTCATAACCTTTATCTTAGTTCATGCACTACTTTGTGTTCCATCTTTTTCACCTGTTTGCACAGCAACTATTAATTTATACAGATATGGGTCACACCCTCATGGCACCAAGACTGTACAAAACCTCAAAATGGGAGTTTCCTGTCTTTTCGCTTACAATATTAGTAATTTACCAATGCCAGAAAAAATAAAGTTGCCAGAAAAAATAAAGTTCTAGAAGTAATCACTGAGTTTTACTTTTAATACTTAAATGTATTAGACCATAAAATCCTGTAGACAGCCTTTCTTTTGAATTCCATGATGGCACCTAAAACAAAATTATCTATGTAGTAAAAATTAAATACTTTTCTTAATTTAGTAATTCAAGCAAATACATGTACAGGAAAAAGGGAAGATATGTGACTTAGGTAGCCAGGTTGTCTCTAAATGCATGGTCCACGGAGAAGTAATCACCTCAGCCGAGGAAGGAACCCCAGATAAAGGATCATGCTACTGCTGACATCAGACAACCTCATTCAAAAGGAAGGTTTATAGCTTGTAATGATCAGCTCCTAAAACTATCAAATATTCATTATCATAGTTTATGATAATGACACAATGTACGATCTGTCCACAAACATACAATGTGTCAGAAAATATAAAAATATTCCTTTTTCCTCCTCTTTCTGTCTACATTTAAAGAACCCTCTTTCAAATTTAAGGGGCATTCTAGAGATAGATGAAAATTATGCAGAATTTAAGGGATCTAGGGGACTTTTAAAAACTAAACTCACTTTAAAAACAAACAAAACCCCCTGTAATTTGAAGACAGATCATTTGAGCTAGTGAGCCTCTGAATAACTGGCATGTTGAAGATCCACAGGAGCTGATCAACATTTCACAAAAGGAATGTTTGAATATTTTGGATTTTACACATGCATTACAGAAGAGATTTGTGACAAGTTGGCATGGAAATGATAAACTCAGCTACTCTGCAGTTTTGCTTAACACCCTAGGCTGCAAAAGCCACTGGTAAAATCAGGTTACTTTAACCCACGTAAAGAGGCCCACTGTGGGAGACAGGACCTTGGGGCCCATTTGTGAATGATAGAATGCTCAAGAAAGGATTAATAACAGCAAGTTAATTCTAAAAAAACAAAATTCTGCTACAGGATGCATATCAAAGGTAAGGTAAAAGATTAATGTCAGAGGAAACTACATCTTGAAATCATTATAAAATGATACTCATTAATGGGTTTACTGATCATGAAGAGTAATCAAACATCAAACCCTTAGGGAGAAAAACTTTTACCTAAAAAAGTACTTAATAAATTGCTTTGGGAAGCATCTTACTAACAAGCACATACATCTCTCAGGAGTATTCATTTTGCCACAAACTGGAGCTAAAATGGGAAGTTCTGGAGGTTTATGGCAGCACCAGGATCCAAATTTAATCCTGCATAGGGACTGACCTCATTAGCAGCTCCTAAAATAAATTCAAAGGGCCCTAGACACTGGCATGAGAACTGAGACCAGGCATAGCTGGGTGTTCAGAGATCAGATGAATGAATAGAAATGTGGGGATGCAGCAGGGCTCTGCTCCCCTTCGTAATGGACCAAAGTACACCATCTGTGAAAGCAAAAAAACCCCAAAGCCAAAAATACTGTGATAGCAACGATAAGCAGTATGGATGAGTCTGTATCAGAATTGATATGTACATACATGTGTGCATATATGAGTGTGTAGAATCTGAATCCTATGAAGAAATGCACTGATGTCACTGAAGTAGAAGTGCCTTTTCCTTACAGAAACTGAGTAACCTGTCCTTCCTCTATTTGGACCACAACGCGCTGGAATCTGTGCCTCTTAATTTACCAGAAAGTCTACGTGTAATTCATCTTCAGGTATGACTGCTCTTTTCACAATATCTGACTATAATTTAAATTACTAAGGGTCAATCTTATGACTCACTAGGAAACTCACATTCACAGGTAAATTCTGCCTATCAAAAGTATCAATATTGAGCCCAATACACTCTCCTGCCCACAAACCCCAGTTCTGTCCAGAGTACCTTGAAAGGACCAGCAACACTAGGCCTGAGGTCTGCTCTCAGGGTGGTTTTTGTCGCCAGCTGTGCACTTGGTATCTCCTAGCTAACCTGGCACATGGATTTGAAGTTAAGGGACACTAAAACCTTGGGCTTATGTTTCCTTCTCCAAATAGCTATAAATGTTTGCTTTTGAAGACTTCCCAACTGATTTTATTGTCCAACATCAAACTGAGGTAAAGAAAATGAAGGAGGAGTAAAAATAAGCTAAAACTGATCTTTCAACATTATAAGAATTCCTGTGTTCTTTTTACTTCTTTAAAGGCTATTTAAGGACACAGTATGCATTTTGAGTTCACACTCCAGAATAGGATACTTTTTCCAGCTATTATAATAGTAAGTAGTCTGTTCTTCCAAAGTTATGCTGTAAACTTTAAAAGAAAAAAAAAGGTTCAGATTGCAGAGAGGGTTTTATTACCATGACGACAGATACACAATATGTACAATACAGTAGTTTAAAAATCACTTTTTAGATAAAATATTCTGAGATCTCATTACATAGCATCCAAAAGATTTATTTCAGACATCTGAACACCTTTCCCTTTTATTTTCCAGTTTAACAACATAACTTCAATCACAGATGATACGTTCTGCAAGGCCAATGACACCCGTTATATTCGGAACCACATTGAAGAGATACGCTTGGAGGGAAATCCCATCATCCTGGGAAAGCATCCCAACAGTTTTATCTGCTTAAAAAGATTACCTGTAGGGTCATACTTTTAACCACTATCAAGGTATCACATAAACTAAAGTACACACATTCTTATAATCTGTCTCAACAATGTCTAAAGGAGCATAAATATCTGTTTAATATTAACTTAGTATTTCACTAGGAAGGAATTTTATGTTTTAAGCAAGGATGTTCAAAAGCTTACACATTAACACGTAAAAGACTGAATCTCTAAATATTTTCACATTACCTTGTTTTGCACTTAAACAGCATTACAAAATCCTTATAGTTTATAGTAGAGTGCCATTTAAAGGGTATGTCTTTATGTAAATACCCAAATTTAAGAAGCATTATTTCTATTATTAACAAAGTGAGAGGATAAGTCCAAGAAACGTTCAGTTGTTTGTATTTTCTGGCCTTTACCACATCACAAAAGTATTTAAGGCTGATGTTCCAAAAACTCTGAAAAGCTAAATATTTCCAGTGATCTCCCATTTTTCTTTTATGATTCATACGTTATTCATTACAAAGGAGAAACTCTTTTCTTTCTATTAAGGCAGCTATTATCTTTTTACTTAGCCTGAGAAATAGGGTATAGTCTCATACCTAGGCAAAACTTTCCAAATAAAGCGTAATTTTACCCTCTAATAAAGAGCTAATATAAGTAATGTTCAGCAATGTTATTCTGCTTTGTAGTCACACAGTTAAAGGTTTCAGTAAAACAGTATAAAATTCTCTTATCTAAATGTTAACATTCTAAATATAGTGTAAAATATTTTAAGAAGTCAAGCAGACCAGAATCAGTATGCTTTAAAAAAACAAAAAAGCACAAAAGTCCACCCCATGTCTCAGAACGTAGCTGTAAAGTTCTCTATTGTAAAGGCTTGCAAATATGATAAATACTGCAAAACATTTCCTTTTTGCACTGTAGGAATGAGAATCTTATCAAGAAATTTGTTCGAATGTAAGATATAAAAACAAAACAAATTCTGTGGTGTTATTACACATCATTCTCCCACCCACCCAACACATCCATGTTCATGCAGACAGACCTTATATTCACAAGAAAACTTCTGAGCAACATTTACTAAAGATCCATAATTAACTAATACATTTAATGGTGAGAATTCATCTTCAATCTAATAGTGATTTATGATGACACGATGCTGTCAGATTAGTTCCTAAAATAACTTGACATCTGTCCAAACCCCACTCAAAAGTCTTAAGTGTCCACGTTGTTTTGGGGTTACATACAAAATTATCAGTGCTTCAGAAACACGAGTTTGCACTGTATATATAAACACTACCGACACTGTTTCCCACATACGCTACACATTAATATCAAGTTGGTCTCTACATAGTATTCCCAGAACAAATATTTAGTCCTATTTTTAAGCATTTGCTTTCATGTTTTCTCTACCTAGAAAAACCTCCTGTTTTTCGATTTTCCCCCAATTTGTCAAGGCTGACCCCAAAATGAAACTTTTCATTAAACAATCTGTAACCTCTTAAGGCCACAATAATTACCCTATAACACTTATTAACTGATTCACTTATTTTATTTCAGTAATTGATAATCAGAACTATTATATTGCTTTCTTATTTTGTGTGCATTCCTCATTTCTCTATGACTCTGAAGTTCACTGAGTACACTACCCACATAAATATTCCCTCTATACTTTCAAAGTTCTAGCATGATAGTGAGCACATATGAACTGAATATAAAATAAACAGTGCAAAATAAAACTCCATTTAACAGAAGGGCTCTGTTGTATTTGAAAAAACAGAATCTTTAAGCTATCATAATCTTGAATAAATTAATGGAAGTAAATTGTAAATTTATCTTGAAAAATAAACTTGATAAGGAGAACTGAGTGGTGGAGTCAAAACTAGAGAAAATGGCCCCAGCCAGCATAGCTCAGTTAGTTCAGCGCTGTCCCATGCACCAGAAGGTCACCAGTTCAATTTCCGGTCAGGACAGGGCTTGATCCCCAGCAGAGGGCATGTAGGAGGCAACCAATCCATGTTTCTCTTTCACATAGATGTTTTTCTCTCTCTCCCTCTCCGCCCCCCTCCCTTCCTCTCTTTCTAAAATCAATAAAAACATATTTTTTTAAAAAACCAAACAAAACTGGGGAAAACAGAGAAGAGTTCTCTCACATTTCCAGATGTCAGAAAAATAAAGTATTCCTACGTTCTTAATATAATTAAACTTAAAGAGAGAAAAAAATCATAAAATAACTCAAATTTTAGAGAATTGAAAAGCCAGTGGGTTAGGTAAAATAATTAGGAAAGAGCACTAGTAAAAACTCTGAATTATAAAATATTCATTAAAAAATAACTTTTGGACTTCTAGACAAAAAGAAGACATGAACTTGGGTACCTGACAACTTTATATACACCTTAGTCACAAATAAAATAATGAAAGTAAAGTATGCTGATTCCATTATCTTAAATAGATAGTGCTTCATTCTTGACACTGATAGTTAAAGAAACAGAGACTTGAAATTAAAAATATTTTACTCTTACTCGAAAGAAACGAAGTTGTGCATAAATGGAAAGACATCCTGGGTTCATAGATTGAAGAGTGAATAGTTAATATGTCAATATTACCCAAAGCAATCAGCAGATCCAATGAAATCACTTTCAAAGTCCCAATGACATTTTTTTTAAAGAAATAGAAACATCCATCCTAAAATTCATATGAGAACTCGAAAAACTCCAAATAGCCAAATTTGAAAAGAACAAAATTGGAGGACTTACATGTCCTCCTTTCAAAATGTAACTATAAATCTACACTAATCAAAAGTGTGGTACTGGTATAAGGACAGACATACAGACCAATGGATATAACAAAGAGCCCAGAAAACTTTGCAAATATATATATATATATATTCAAATGATTTTCAACAAAGGTAGCAAGATCACTCAATATGAAAAGGACAGTGCTAGAAAAGACTGAAGTTGCATGAACAGGCAAATGCAAAAGTCTAAAGCTGGAACCTTAGCTCACAAACTGGATTAAACACCTAAACTTAAGGGCTAAACTATAAAACTCTTAAGGGGAAAAAAGAGAAAAATCTTTATGACATTCAACTTGACAATGACATTTTGGATATGGCATTAGAAAAATACGTAATTTGGCTTCATCAAAATTAAAAACTTTTGTGTGTCAAAAGACACTATCAAGAGAATAAAAAGACAAACCAGGGAATGGGAGAAAATATTTGCCAATTATTTATAGATAAGGGATCAATATCTAGACTATATAAAGAACTCCTACAACTCAACAATAAAAACACCAATCAGATTCAATGGGCAAAGGCCTTACATAGATATTTCTCCAAAGAAGACATACAAATGGCCCATAAGCACATGAAAAGATGCTCAACATCATTAAGAAAATGCAAATCAAAATCACAATGACAATACCACTTCACACCCATTAGGTCGGATATGACGAAAAAGAAAAGAAAAAACCCCACCCCAAGTAACAAATGGATGTGGAGAAGTTGGAAGCCTTGTACACTGCTGTTGGAAATATAAAATAGTACAGGTGTTGTGGAAAAAAATATGCAGTTCTTCAAAAAATTAAACAGACTTACCATATAATCCAGCAATTCCACTCAAAGGTTATACTTGAGAGAACTGAACGCAGGACTTCAACAGATAGACTGGGTGTTACACACCTGTCTTCATAAAAGCACTATTCCCAATAGCCGAAGGTGGACCCAACCCAGTGTCCAACAACAGACGGACAAGTAAACAAGATGTGGTAAAGAACATAAAATGGAATATTATTCAGCCTTAAAAAAGAATGAAATCACGACATATGCTACAACACAGATGAACCTTGAAGACATCATGCGATATGAAATAAGCCAGGCAAAAGTGTAAGTTTTATGATTCTGCTTAAATGAGGTAACGAGAGTAGCCAAATTCACAGAAACAGAAGATGGAATGGTGGTTCCCAGAAGCTGGGGGAGAAGGAATGGCAAGTTACTATTTACTGGGGACAGATTTTCAGTTTGGAATAATGAAAAAGTTCTGGAGCTAGATACTGATGATGGTTGTACAGCAATGTGACTGTTTCTTTCCATTCTAGTAATCTTATCAGCAAAGACCAGTTCATAGAAGTGCTCTACACTCTCAGGGAAAAATGCACCAATTATACTTTTATACCTGCATTGAAATTGGCTTTGGAGATGGAACTAGTACTCACATTTCCCATGACCCATTCGAATGTATAAGTAAACAACCATGCCAGGTGATTCACACCTATAACTGCCAGCATATTTGTCCATTATCTGTGGAGAAAAGCTGGTTAACTGTTCTGGTGCCAAGAGCACCTGCAAGTAAACAAAAGAATCGAGAAAACTCCTCAAGGGATCATAGTACAGGTACAGGTACTAGCATGTTACATTCTCAAGAAAATCCTATGCCTGACAGATGTTATTAGCTCAACTAAATTGAATGCAAATAATAATTATTATAATAATAAAAATATACAAAATAAAGGAGAGTTAATACCAGTCATAAAAACAATAGTCCTGACCTAGTTAGGCTTTGGGGGAAACCTGAACCTTGAGATATGATTTAGGTTGACTCTTTCAGAACTGGCTTTTGTGTGGATCACTGCTGTCAATAATTTGATGATATACAACTAAGTAGGATCTGGGGGATTACAGAACAACCAAACATAATTCTAGTTATGCCAGAAACAAACAAAAGGAATAAAAAGGAGTCTCTGAATGTATCAGGATCAGACTTAAGCAGCATTACTTTACAAGAAGCAGGGCTCAGTATTTAAACTTGAGATCTACAATAATTAAGAAGCTCAAAACAACAAAGTCTAGCTCAGGAAGTAAAGATTATACTGCTATGTGATAAGCCTTCTATGATTATATTCTTTTTTTTTTTTAAGATTTTTTTTTTATTGTCTTTTAGAGAGAGGAGGAGGAAGAGGAAGAGAGAGAGAGAGAAACAACCATTGGCTGCCTCCTGCCCCAGCAGACATTTGCCCTTACCGGGAATCGAACTGGAACCTTTCAGTGAACAGGATGACGCCCAACCACCTGAGCCACACCAGCCAGGGCTCTTTATTAGCATTAGTCATTTTACTTCAAGTACCCTTGACAGATTAATTTTTCAAAATGTGTATTACAAAATAAATAGGAATATAACTACACTTCTTTCAAGATATTCCATCATATAAGATTCACTGATTTGTACAGAAGCATTCCTCCTTCATTTATTCCAAATAACTGCAAATTCCAGGAACCAATTAAAATGTTTTTCTTTAAAAACTATAAGGAAAGAATATTATTTTAAATCTCCAAGTTAAAATGAGTTTCACTTTTTCATATGTGTTTAAATTTAAAGACTTTAGACACTACCTTGAAATGTTTAAATGTGCGCTTCCGATATTCACACCACTCCACAAAAAAGTGTAGGCTTCGGAAAAACATAAACAGATCTCTTCTTTCTTCTGCTCTGTAGGAATAAAAATTTCTATGATTAATAAATATTACTAAATGAGAAGTCCAACCTGGCTCTCCTCCTTAATATTGCTTTTTTAGATATCCTTCACTAAAGCTAAAAAACAGTATTATTTTCAGATGTACTTCTACATACTGAACTCTGCACTGTTGAGTACGTGTCCATGTGACTGCTAATGGGACTTTCTCAGCCTAGAGCTCCCTGTTCCCCATTTCCAAATGTTTCAGTCCTACCCATCTTTCAAGGCACCACTCAAATGCCACCCTCTCCTTGAAATTTTATTTCAGAACTGGTAGAATAAAGAATACATCTTGTCTTTGACCCTAGTTGCTGGTACAGAGCCTCAAAAACCCTTCAGATTTAATAATGACTCAAGGTGACCCCTAGACAGCCTCAGGATAGGGACTGGTCACCAGAAAGACCAACCACTTGATCAAAGAGAGTGAAACTTTGGGGCAAGCAGGCCTCCAAGGAGGAGACGGGGTAGGAAGCACTCAATCACATGGGCAATCATTTAATCACCGATCACTATGTGAGGAAGCACCAACACACAATCCGTACAATAAAGCTCGTGGAGCTTCCAAGTTGGTGAACTCACGGATGTGCTGGGAGGCTAAGGTAGGGATTCTGAGGGAAAGGGCACAAAGCTCTACATTTCTCCTCATACCCCACCGCACACCACTGCCTATTCACTGCTTCCATTTGGCTGTTTCTAGGTTGTAACTTTCATAATAAAACCACAACTTTTAGCAGAGCATTTTCATTGAGTTCTCTTGAGTCTTAACAAATTATCACATCTGAGGGGATTGTGGGAACGTACAAATTATTGCTAAGTAGGTCAGATATGCAGGTGGCCCCCAAGACTTGTGGCTGACATGAAATGGAGTGTCTTGTGGAGGACACTGCCCTTAACCTGTGGGTCTATGCTAAATCTGGGTACTGTCAGGGCTGAATTGAATTAAAGGACACCCAGTTGGTGTCAGAAAATTATTGTCTGAACAATGATTTCAACACCACACCACATATCCTATTCCAAAATCACTAGAAATAATTTCTGTGTCTATGAGCTCCCATAGGAATTTATCTTAATTCCCTTAATACTATACCTATTGTTAAGTTGACCCCTACAGACCCAAGCAACTGGTAGTTAAGATATGTGTATTCATTTACTCATTCATTCAATAAATGTGGGAGTAAAGTTCCCAACCTGGTCATGATAGATTTAAAAGCACATTCCTCCCAAAGACTACCATTAAGTACAATTTAGAATCATTGATATAACACCTGTAACTGTACTAAAAGATTCTGAAATGTGGACAGAGGAATTCAGAATGGGGAAAGACTTCAGGAATTAAGGGAGGATCGGGTGTTCAGTTCCTAGCGATTTATTTTTGCCTCCTGTATTTCCCAAATGGACACTGAAGAGACTGCAACCCAGAGATGCCATAGGGTAAAGTTAAAAAAAGGCCTAGGGAAACGCTGCTACCCTCTAGCCAGCAGAGGTCATAAAAGGTAAGTGGAAGGACACTGGTCTTGGTAATGATTTTTTTAATTTGACACCAAAAGCTAAGGCAGCAAAAGCAAAATAAACAAGGGACTACATCAAACTAAAAAAGTCCTGCAGAGCAAGCAAAACCATTAACAAAATAAAAAGGGAACCTACCAAATGGAAGATATTTGGGAAATATTTCCAAAGCATGTATCTGATAGGGGTTAATAACCAAAATACATAAAGAACTCATACAACAGCAAAAACAAAACAAAACATAACCCCATTAAAAAATGGGCAGAGGACCTAAAGAAACATTTTTCCAAAGAAGATATACAGATAGACAAAAGGTGCTCAACATCGCTAATCATCAGAGAAATGCAAACCAAAACCACAACGAAATATTACCTCATCCCTTTCAGAATGGCTGTTATCAAAGAGGCAAGAAATAACAAGTGTTGAGAATGTGGAGAAAAGGGAGCCCTTGTGCACTGCTGGTGGGAATGTAAACTGGTTCAGGCATATGAAAACTGTATGAAGTTTCCTCAAAAAATTACAACTACAATGACCATGTATGATATACCAACTCCATGAAAGTTCATGCTAACCACGCCCCTAACTGCACACAGTAGCAGTCTGAAGATGGCATCCCATTTTCTTGGTGGGGAGCCCTGTCCTAACCACAGCAAAGTGGATCTTGTTCCCAACTGAATTATTTGTTTTGATCTCTCTGTGGGGTCCCTGAGGACTAATTAAAGGGGCCAGACTATTTTTCACTTAACTCATAACTTTCTTGTAGTAAAGACATATTATGCAGAGGACTTTTTTAATATTGATTATTAGAGAAACGGAGAGGGAGGGAGAGAGAAACATCGTGTGAGAGTGAAACACTGATCAGCTGCACCCTACACGCCCCCTACCAGAGGTAGAGTCCGAAGCCTGGGCATATGCCCTGACCGGAAATTGAACCAGCAGCTTTTCGGTGCAAGAGACAACACCCAACCAAGTGAGCAACACAGGCCAGGGCCAGAGGACATTTCTTAAAGACACTGAAAGTCAAATGAGCAGCCAATGTTGCCTGAGGCAAAATAACAGTTAAGACAACATACATGACAAAAGCCAAGGAAGGAAAAGGTGCAGAGTGAGAATCTTTAGACTAAAGATTTTGAAAAGAGTTCCTCTATACCAAGAAACTAGAAAGCCGTATGACTGTCCAGAGCAGGATGCATGCTCAGAAAAGACCTGAGAAGACAAATTTTCACCTCTGGCTAATTATTTTTAATGTTTTTACTGATTTGAGAGAGAGGAAGGAAGAGGGAGAGATAGAAACATCAATGATGACAGTCACTGATCGGCTGCTTTCTACAGGTTCTCCACTGGGGATCGAGCCCACAACCTGGATATGTGCCCTGACCTAGAATCAAACCATGGTCTCCAGGTTCATAGGTTGACGCTCAACCCCTGAGCCACGCCGGCCAGGCAACCTCTGGCTTATCTTTAGGCTAAAGGTAGGCAGGGCATAAAGGCTAAGGCAGAGTTGTGAAAGTGTTGAAGTAGTGCCCCAACACAAAGCCAAAATGCAAAAACTTGGAGATAATGTATTTTTTCTTTTATTTCCTTTCTGTACATCATAATAGTTAAAATGTCCTGTATTCAACAACAAAAAAAACAACTAAGCATGCAAAAAATATATAAATATATAATGGCCCAGCTATACAAAAAAAGGAACAAAACTGTCCTTAAGGAAACAGGCAGTGGAGCTACTAGACAGAGATGTTAAACCAGCATATCCTAAATATGTAAAGAGAACTCAAGGGAACCAAGAAAACAACTCTGCAACAGAGAATAAGGCAAATTATAAAAAGGAAGTAAGTAGATATTTTAGAACCAATAACAAAAAATGAAAAAGTCACTACAAAGGTCCAAAAGCATATCTGAACAGGCTGAACAACCAACAGAAATTAATACAAGTAACATGATATTATCCAGTTTAAGTGGCAGGGAGAAAAGACAATGAGGAAAAAAATGGACCCTAAAAGCGCATGGGACACCATCAAGTATACCAACATAGGCATAATGGGAGTCACAGAAAAAGAGCTGAGAGAAGGAGCTTAAAGTATATCTCAAGAAATAACGGTCAAATCCACTCCAAACTGGATGAAAAAATTATACAAATCTAAGATCACAAACTGTAAAAAATTAATTCAAATTTATCCACACCAAGACACATACTCAAAGTGTCAAATATCAAAGAGAGAATTCTCAGAGTGACGAGAAGTGACTCATTACACAAGGAATCATCAGTAAGACTAATAGCTGATTTACCATAAAAAACAATGGAGGCCAAGAGATACTGGGATAACAATGTGCTAAAAGAAAAAGTCAACCAATAATTCTCTATCTGGCAAAACTATCCTTCAAGAACGAAGAAGAAATCAAGACATTCCCTAATATTAAAAAGGTGAGAGACTTCATTACTAATATACTCATGTACAAAAACACTAAAGGGAATATCCTTCAGGCTAAAATGAAAAAACAGCGGAGAGTAACCTTTTCAAAGTCTTTTGAAGAAATAACAAACATTGGTTACATAGATAAATAACAAAGACAGTATTGTTGCATTTTTTATTTATAACCCCTCTTTTTTGCCTGTATGATTTAAAAGACAAATGCATAAGGTAAAAATTTTAAATCTATGTTAATGCATGCATACAGTATGTATAAAGATATAATCTGTGATGATGATAACATAAGACAAATGAAGATATAAGAAAAGTTTTTGCATATTATTAAAGCAAAATTTTTATTAATTCAAAATAGATTGTTATAAGTTTAAGACATTAATTGCAATCCTCAAGGTAGCCACTAAGAAAATAACTAAAAAATTATACAGACAACAAAATGGGAAGGGAATCAAAATGGTACATTACAAAAATCAAATAAACTTTAAACAAGGCAGTAATGAAGGAATTAAAAAAAGATATAACACACAGAAAACAAATAATAAAATGACAGAAGTAAATACTTTCTTACAGCAATTACTTTAAAATGTAAATGGCTTAAACTCTCCAATTAAAAGGTCAGTTGGGAGAATGAATTTTTTAAAAATGATCCATCAATATGCTGTCTATAACAAACTCACTTTAGAGGTTAAAAAAATACTACAAAGGTTAAAAACTGAGGCTTGAAAAATATTTCATGCAAATAGTAGCCAAAAGAGAGCTGGGGTAGCTATGCTATCCCAAAATAGACTTTAAGTTAAAAATTGTTACAAGAGGCAAAAAATTACATTATATATTGATAAAGGGTCAAGTCACCAAGAAGAGACAATAATGGGGTCAACCCACCACAATGTAACACATACACCTAATGAAGAATCCCAAAATATATTAAGTACAATATGACAGAACTAAGGAGAGGAGCAATTTAACAAAACAGTAGGATACTTCAGTATCCTACTTTTAATAATGGATAGAACTAGACAGAAGATCAATAAAGAAATAGA